AGAATTAGAGACAGCATCAAACCGTTGAAAATAGTTACCCACCAACGCCTTTCATTTTTACTTTTCAGAAGGCAGTATGGTCTCTTCAGAGAAAGGGTGCTAGGAAAGACTGTGAACCCCCTCCACCTGATGGCAGGGCCTAGGGTTTCTCCCTGTCTGTAGGAGAGAAACATGTCTCCAGAGGCTCACAGGTGTTTTATTTCTCCCATATGTGATTTCCTATCCAGTTCACATATCAAATCCTCTGACTCTCTCTTCCCCTTTAAAAAGCATGTGAAGGAAAAGGTCTGCTTCAACAGGTCAAACACCTTTGTTATGTTAATTCTATTCCAAACACCCACAGATTCTCAGGTCATTTTAGTCTATATACATGATGCTGGGGTGCTGAGTGACTCTCTGTGGTTAGTGTTTCCACTCAGACCACTGTGATTTGAACCAACCACTGGTTCTCCATTTGGATATTCTAGTTTCTCACCAAGAGTCTACTTCTTGTTTATTACAGGATTTCTTCAAGCAAGAATTAACTTTCATTAGCACGTTCAATGAAACTATTCTTTAAGCCTGTTTTATCATTTCGAGTGAAGATATCAGACACCCATATTTTAAATTATGAAGTAGTATGCAACACAGCTACCTGTCTCTCATCCTCAGGCAAGGCACCACCAGGCTCCACCTGAATCTCCTCTTTCTGAGCCCTGTCAGCTCTCCTCTCATGAAGCAGCCTAGACAAGAGTTCACTTTTATTTGGTGACAAAGATATAATTCATTTTCAATAATTTACACTGATTGAGGCTAGAGAGTGAATTTCAATACTAAATATAGTCATAATTCTTTTACGGAAGAATATTGCTGTGAACTCATCCAAAAACCCCACTACACAGTGTGATAATAAACAACAGTAGCAGAAAACATTGGAGAAGGGAGACATACAGTAGCTCTTATTACTGAGTCTGTGTCTCCTTGTGCTTCAGCAAGGCATTCCTGCTCAGAGGCTGCAGCACCTCATTCTGAAACATTATAAGAAAGACATGATTAAAAATCAGAAGCAAGTGCACAACTCTACTGCCTGTGCATGGGTGACTGTCAGAGTCTTCACCTTCTAGTCCTGAGAAGGCCTACAAAATTTAACAGACTTGTCAGTAGTGAGTGGAGAAAAGCAAATGTCCTTAAAACTTTTACCAGTTGCTTATTCAGGTGGTGAGAAGCCCCCAGGCCTGTGTCATGGGGGAAGTGGTAAGACAGAGGGAGGTCTGTCTCGGGCTGTATTTACAATGCCCCCCTCAAACTCGAGGACATAGAGGACAATGGGAAAGGGGCAGGAATGAGCCCTAAGAGTTCCTCCATACCAGGAACTAGACAGACCTTGCCTCCCTCTCTCCACCCCACGCCCCTCTTCTCTCTCTCTCTCTCTCTCTCTCTCTCTCTCTCTTTCTCTCTCTCTCTCTTTCTCTCTCTCTCCTTCCTCAATCAAAAAGAAAAAACATATTTATGTGTCTGTTTCTTAATTTCCTTCTCTGAGTAATATGTCAGCACAGTTAACAATCCCACAAAGCATTCCACCATTTAAAATCTTGTCCTTCTTTTGATCATCAGGAATTTCCCCATGAACTTCCTAGTTGGTAATTGAATCCACGCATATAGGAATTTTGCTGCTCTGGTCCTTCCATTGGGTAAAAAGTTGGATTTACCTACTGTGTCGATGTAGGAAGGACGCGGATCTTCTACTTCCCAGCATGCCTTGCCTAGACTAGCCTATGTAGCAGGCACAAAATGGATTGTATCTCTCAAAATATTGATTGATCTGAAGATCAGGATATTTTTAGGATAGTATTTAGAGTGGCAAAGCTGTTCTTTAAATGAGGTGTCTATGTATGTTGGCTAATTAGTAAAACAAGGGACAGACTAGAGAGTTATCTCAGCAGTTATAAACACTTGTAGCTCTTGCAGAGAACTTGAGTCTGGCTCCCAGCACCCACACAGAAGCTCAAAAAATCCCTAACTCCAGTTCCAAAGGACCCAAGTCTCTCTTCTGGACTTTAAGGTACCAGGCACATATGAGATACACATACATATATGCTGGCACACTTATACACGTAAAATATGTATCTTTAAAACAAACTTACCTTCCTTCAAAAAAAGAGAGAGAAAGATCAGTGGAAATTTAAATTTATCTTGGATAACAAATAGTGTTACAAAGACAGCAGGCTTGAAGCTCATGACAGAATAGGTAGCACGTGAGTGCCAGGTTATCGGGAGTTTGTTATTCATGGTTTGCTGGGCAATTTATGTGACTGGGGCAGGGCTGCCATAGTATTCTGGCACTTCCTCAGAGTGATGCTTTCATCCTAAGCCCACCATGGAATTCCACTGCATTTCACTACTCTTGACAATGTAAACACCTTTGGGGGTATGAAAAAGAGAGAGAGAAAAGCAAACAGAATGTGATGTCTTTTTTTTTTCTCTTTTTATACAAAATTATCTGCTTGTAAATGCCATGTGGACTTTTTCTTTTGAAATACAAGGAGATTTGGAGGAGAAATGACACTCAGGCTCTAAGTCACTGCCTGACACATCGAGGACACCTGATGTCTTGATGTGGTAGTCACAGGGGTGACATTCCAGAGACCAATTTAAGCGATAAAATAGCTGGTGCCTCTACTCTGGGTAGAGTGACTATGAAGAAGCTCTGTGCGTTAAAAAGCTTCTCTAGCTGTAACCAATACCTGAGAGCAACTTCAATGGAAAGATTTACTTAACTCATAATTTTCAAGTAATTGCTGTGTCCTATCACTCTGAACCTGTGGTGAGGCAGCAGTTCAGGTCAGAGGTACTCAGGGAACAAAGCTGCTCACCTGTGACCACACAGCAAAGGGATAGGATCCCACAGTCCCTTCACGGACAGGCTCCAAATGACCTAAAGACCTCCTGCTTGGTCTCACCACTTCCCAGGAGCATCTTCCTAGGGATCAAGACTTTAAGAACCCAGCCTTTGGAGAACATTCAAGTTCTAAATGATAGCATTCCCATAAACAATTTTTAGAGCCTTTTAACTCTCAAGATTTGGTACAACAAAGACCCAGAGATATGCAATCTAGAGTCCTGATACACAGACTTGAAAGGGGCTTTGTTTGGACACTAGTCCTCATACTGAGGCCATTTGCAATTGAAAGCCAGAACAGAACAGGTAAAGGCTTTCCTCCTTTATATTTATAATAGAAGTAATACTTCCCAGAATTGCTATCATTGTTGGCTGGAGACCAGTCAACAAAGAGATAACTCAACCTTTTTTTTTTTCTGGAATAGTCATCCAATAGAAAAAAAAATGGAGCACATTGAGGTTTTATCATTTTTTTCACTTGCCTAATCAAAATGTTCTGCTAAATTTATTTTTAAGATAACTTTTTTTTTGAAACCTGTTATTCTGAATCCTACCAGAGCTTAGAATGTATTTGCCTTGAACACTTAAATGTCAGATTTCATAGTAATGATTTCATAGTAATTGGCTGTGCACAGAAGAAAACATATCTTATTATGACTTATGGTGATCATTTTATACACTTTAGAGGTTTTTTTTTTATCAGTTTTGAGCTTTTTTAAATAATATATATCAAAAAGAAAATGTACTTAATAGATCAAGGAAAAATACTGATGATGACTCCAGTAATTAGCAATAAATCACTATTAAAATTGTTTTATCTCTTAGAGAAAACTTAGGTCATTATGTGTGTATTTGACTGCATTTTTTTCTGTTTGGTAACTATTGTGAGCATTTCTATGTTACTAGCTATCCTAGGGTGTGATTTTCTTGCCTGCAAAAAGTATTCCATTTTTTCTTTTTGTGAAGCAGCTTGGATACTGGCACTTTCTTGTCGTGTGTGTGTGTGTGTGTGTGTGTGTGTGTGTATTTATAAGATCTAAAGCTTGCCCCTTTGTACACATTAGACTCCTAACTTTTAACACAAGGTTGTTGACGGTATTTAGACCTGAACAATTCAAGCACATGAAGAATATAACCAAATAACTGGCTGGCTAACTGGTCAACTAAATGAGTCACATTGTTAAGAATGTTAACCATTGTAATTTATCTGAATAACCATAAACATCTTATTCTGGAACTAGAGGTAATCAGAGAACATTCAAATCTTTTAGAAACAACACAGGCGGGAAGTAATGGGAATAATTCTGTCTCCTAGGAACATAATGTGAAGAGATGGGCTGAACATAACATTCTGGGTGACAGGTTGTCATTGTCTCTAAAGCAGGAGGTACTGTGAGGGTTGGAACAACAGCACAAAGGAGCAGGCACTTCCATTTAAAAAAAAAAATCTACGTAAAAAATAAAGTCACAAGTTCAGTTACATGCAAATACATATATGTTGAAGAGAACGCCGAGGTGTCTCTGGAAAGTTTAATCCAGAGAACACTATCCTCGTGGAGGAAGGTCAAAAGTGCCTCCTCAGCAAACTGAAGGGGCTAGGGAAGCTTTAGGGCAGAAGCAATGGATGCTGGGATTGGTCAGTAGTTACAGAGCCAAAGGCGAACAGCAGAGGGCAAGAGACCACATAGGGAGACAGGAAAGATTGGGAGAGAGAGAGGAAAGGAGAAAATGCTAGCAGTGGACCATGAGTAGAGGGCCTTAAGGGATGGCTGGAGACAGTGGTGGGGTGGGGCTGGGCTGCTGGGGGCGCTGAGCAGCCTTTCATCCGGGCAATAGGAGGCACACGCAATCCCAAGTTTCAGGCAGAGGCAATAATAATAATACTGACTGAATTCCAAAATACTTTAGACAAAGATGGTAGAAGAATCTCAGAGTTACCATCAGCTTGTTGGTGTCGTGTAAATCATGGGAACTGTCACTTTGCGGAGTGGAGTAGTGAACACCCGTGGACGCTGAAATCTAATGGCTGGTTTTCTTCCCGGCTTCTTTTCTTGCTGGTGGTGGCTGCTTCTGTTCTCTCTCAGCTTTCTATCGGAAGGGTGCTGTCTTTTGTTCCCCACAGGATGTTGATCCAGGTGTGCCTATATTTTTACTGTAAATTTTTGTGGCGCTGCATGAAGTTTGTGATGCGGAAGCTCACCGGAAGGTGTGAACTGCAAAGGATTTGCTATGGCACCAAACCTGGAGCTTCCAGAACCATGAAAATCGGTGAGCGCTGAGCAGAAGGGAGGTCGGGGTTCAGAGGTGGTGGGATTGAGGTTGCAGCGCATAATTCCGTAAGTAATATTCAAACACTCATAAAGCGCCCTTTCTAATGACATTTTTGTGTGTATGTTATTGCCTTAACAGAAACGTCACTGAGAGATTCAAAAAGTAAGGTAAATAAAATTATTTTCTTGCTTTTCAATAACTTTTCACTGAGGGGCTTATGGCTATCATAAAACAAAAAAATTGTGGGATAGTGAGATGACTCAGCCTGTAAAGGTAGTTTGATGCCCAGGTCCCACATAGAAGAAGGGACTCCTTCAGGTTTATCCCTGACTTCTATTCATACAGTGTAACGGGTGTAACCCACACAGGTATATACACAATGTAATAAAAAAAACTTTAAAAACAATAAAAACTAAAATAAAACTTTCAAGAACAAAAATGTTATCTCTGACTAAAAGCTAATGTAAACAAGGTAGTTAGGTCATTGTTGACATACGTTTTTACATATATGTCAGTTTCTAGACAGATTTGTAAAGTTTAATTTAGTATTGAATTCACTCATTTTATACTGCCTCTTAAATCATAAACTAAGAATATAATAACAGTATCAGCTATCTGATAGCACAGTAACCAAACCACTTAACTTTATACTTGAGATTTTCCAGTGAAGTCAGAGAAGCCACCACATTAATGATAAAATAGTACACAGGGCTAGAGAGAGGAGTCACTGACTGGAAGCTCTTCGGAGGACCCAAGGTGGGTTTTCAGCACCCATAGGGCTCACAGCCATCAGTAACTGTATTCTGACTTTCAAGGGCTCTTCACACACATGATACACAGACACACACTCAGGGGAAACACCCACATAGATAAAATAAAATAAATAATTTTTAAAAAATGATTACACAATTGACTACCTATACAAGGAAAAATGCTTTATTTTGCAAGAATTTTAATACTTTTACCTCAATTTCTTGAACTTTGGCAATCTTTTGACCAGTGGTTCTCAGCCTGCAAGTTGCCTTTGGGGGTCAAACGACCCTTTCATGGGGGTGACCTAAGACCATCAGAAAACAGGGTGACCTAAGACCATCAGAAAACAAGGTAACCTAAGACCATCAGAAAACACAGATGTTTTCATTACAATTCATAACAGTAGCAAAATTATAGCAGCAATAAAAATAATTTTATTGTTGGAGGGTCACCACAACATGAGGAACTGTGTTAAAGGCTCACAGCACTAGGAAGGTTGAGAACCGCTGCCTTAGACTGTATCCCCAGGACCTCCAGTCTATCAGGTTAAAAGGAAATCATATCGGTGTAATATAAATATTTTAAACCAAACAACAAAGGTGAGGAATGAAGCAAATTACAAACCTTCTCTGTGCTTGCTGTATGCCAAGTACCGTAACTAGGAAAATGGCGCTCTCCCAGCTGTGGAAGCCTGAGGAGCCTTGGAATGCAAGCACATCAGCCTGGTTTTGGCGCCTGCTTGCATACAGAAGTGTAGTACTTGAAGCCTCCATCCCAAGAGGGATTATTGAAGCCATTGGTGCTGATGAAAGAGACTGACTGAAAGGTGTTTTCTCAGCTGTTGCAGACATCAGTGAGCGTGCATCCTGATGCTATCGAAAAGACTATTGATGACATCATGGAACTGAAAAAAATTAACCCGGACATCAATCCACAGTAAGAATTAGACTTGTATGTGAGAAATACAGAACATGGCTATTCCCCTCTCCCCTCTCCCCT